AATTGGTACCTTATTAAGCTTTCATTTTTCCAGAAGTTCCAGTGATTTACGATTGTTTCACTTATTTTCGTCGAATATAACTATTTATTATAACTATGAGCATGGATCATTTTAACAAAATCCACTCTATATCCCTAAATTTGGAAACTACTCTCTGTTCCAAATGTTTTAGTAGTACAAACTACTGATAATAAAATGTTCTTAACTTTTTGATGGTTTTAAACTGCTACTATTTATCACTGCATTACAGAAAGACACATATAATTAAACGGTCGTTTAGTACGTTAAACTATGATTATTAGAACTTATAAACCTGAATAATCTATATCCATTAAAATCCCAGCACTTGAAGAACATTTAAGATTTCTAACGTTTAACTACGTAGCATTTTCGAAGCATTCGTCATACATTTAAAAGATTCAGAACTATGTATACATAGGAAACCTGTGTAGGTTCTTCTTCTGAAATAATCTTAATCTCTCATAATTTTTATTGTTTTCTTCGTTCATGGTCATCTGCTTCACTTAAATCTACTCTATAGATGTTTGATCCCCAAATGATTTGTTTCCGTTTCTATAATCCTCCTGATAACAGTGCATCTCAAATCCAATATTTGGTCACTTCATATTGAGCCTTCCATTTTCAGTTATAATTCTATGTTTATCTTCATTATTGGATATCAATTAAATTAATAGTTCCCTTCATTAAAATCGCATTTTCGTATCTTTATTTATTTTACTTCACTGTTACCATAATTAACAATATTTTATTACCGCTATTGTTGCCATTATTATCATTTGAGAAAATAAGTGTATATTTGCCATTATACTGCAAGGTAAGTAGATTCGCTGTAAGGAGAATTCTTCACTGAACCAATATTTTGCTTATTCTACAGATATATATCTCCAACCCAATCATGTCCATAATTGCTTGCAAAAGATTTATACTACTGATTTAAAAAATAAATAGTCCAAAACATATGGGAATATATTTTTCAATTAAACGCTATTATCAGCTAGCATAATGAATATAAAGTTAATGCATTTTATTATGAAAACTAAGGGAATAAATAGGTCGTACATATTTGAAGTCATGATATGTTAGCTCACTAGTTGAATTCAAGATCGATTTTTTAGTCTTGATACTTGATAGAAAAAGCCTGATAATTTTTGTTCTACATCAGAGAAATTATCAGTGTGAGGGTGTGGAGATCATTAAGTTTTTGATTGAGATCATGAACCGATTAGTGTTATACCACCATTGAAAACGTGGGAGCATTGGACACCCGTTTTTTCCTATTATGGGACAACTCAGCAAGGTTCTAGTGAGAAGCCGTGACCAGTGGAGTTGATCAGTGTCGGGTGGAGACAGCTATCTACCTCAGTACAATGGAAGATGATCGCGCGATTTCGTGGATTGGTTGAGATTAGACATTAGCACCGTTTGATGCCGGCTCAGTGGTCTAGAGGTTAAATGTTCGTCATGAGACCGAAGGCTTTGGGTTAGAATCCTGCGAGCAGGATCGTGGATGTGTACTGCCACTAAGGAGTCCCACACTAGGACGAAACGGCCGTCCAGTACTTCCAAGTTTTCAATGGTGGTCTAACATAAATCGGTTAATGATCTCAATCAAAAACAGAGAAATTGTTAGTCTTACTGAGAGGAAATTAATTTCCTTTAAGTCAATTTCGAAAATTTTCAATAAACATTCACGGTTTGATTGCGAAAATTTTATTTACAGTTTGTTTCACTAGATAATTTTCAAACTACCTAGGCTTGGATACTTTTCATACTAAGAAAAACAGAATTTCACGACAGATTGCATTCTGTAGAATAATTAACTAGTAAAGAGTTTGTTGACTAGAAAAAAACTAAATCGTTGTTAAAGACTGTTATCATATGTAGTGTCAATTCTATTAACTAACCTTAACAAATTCATTGATGGGAATCAAGAAGAGGAATAGCTGATCAGTAGAGAGTAGAACGGAATAGACGAATCTTTCATTTACACAACGCATTTTCTCTCAGTTGTTGACATTTTTTCAATGTTTTTATCCTTGCTAAAAGTTCCAAGCCGAGTGACTATTAGAGTGATCAGGTTTTTTGTATGTATGTAATACGTATACAATAAAATAAGTTACGGTATTAAAGTAAGTAGATGATGAATAAAAACGTTGATTTTTGATAAGAAGCTATAGAACCAGCATAGCCCAAAGTAATAAACCTAACATCAAACTACTGTCGAAAATATTATTGATTTACAAACACTATAACATATTTCATATATCGCATAAATAATATTTTAATTTAAGATGATGGTTAGAGGTGGTCATCCGGAAACCCTAGACCTAGGTTTCGTGCTACTTGGTACTCGTCAGTAAGGTGTACTTGTATTCTTGAGGAAACTGATGCTTTCTGACGGATTCGATTCTCTATAAACCGGCTTCACATTCAGAGACGTTACCACTGCGCTATCAGAGCCACGACTAATCTCCTGTAGGACTGAGAAGTATTTACAATTGATTAATCACTAGGTGGTGATTAATGTCATGTATGTCAGGTCCTAGTGGCCATATTGTAACTTGGTCGATAGGAATCGATCTGCACTAAGAAGGACCTGACGTACATGACATTTAGAGATGCGAAATTCTGAATGATTGTTAACCAGTTTCTGTATGACAAAAAACTTTATAACTGAAAATTATGCTGAATTGTACTAATATTCGAAACGGAGAAATGAATGTAAACAAAGAATTACACTATATCACTTATTGTAATCTACAATACTTGGCAAACAGGAAGTAGTGTAAATGCAAGTAGACGTATATTGAATAAATGTGATAAACACGTATAAAAAGTAGACTTGTCTATGATAACACTTTAAATTGTTTACAAGTAGAGAGCCAATAAAATATCATTCAAATTTAGATCATTTTACGGTCATATATTTAATGATACTTAGTACCTAAAAAAGTATGTAGTAGTTGCAAAAACGAATTATATCTCAATGTAAGTTATCATGACTGAATATAAGCTACATGATATGTAAGATGTATTAAAGAAAGAAAATTATGACTATTCGTATTCGCATTTTAGAAAAAGAAGTTGCTATTAAGTTGGATCAAATTTTTTTGATAGAAAGAAGATCTGAGCAAATGTGAGAATTATAAAGGAATCACACTACTATCAGTACCAGGAAAGGTTTTCAACAGAGTTTTTCTGAACTGAATGAAAGATTCAGTAGACGCCAAACTTCGAGATCAGCAGGTCGTGAGACATTACGGATCATCGTTGAACAATTAGTTGAATGAAATTCGTCAATATACATCAACTTTTTTGATTAAGAGGAAGCATTTGACATTATGGATAGGAGGATATTATGAAAACTTCGTCGACACTATGGAGTATCTGAGAAAATCGTCAACGTCATCCGAATACGTATGACGGGCTACAGTGTAATGTGGTGCATGGAGGACAGCTGACAGATGCATTTCAAGTGAGGAACGGAGTCATGCAAAGCTACTTACTCTCCCACTTCCTTTTTCTTCTGGTGGCCGACTGGACAATGAAGACCTTCACATCGGACTGGAAGCACGGAATGCAATGGACAGCTTGGATGCAACTAAACGAATTGGATTTCGAAGTTGACCTGGCCCTTCTATCCCATACACGTCAACAAACGCAGATGAAGACAACTATTGTAGCAACATCCTCTGCATCAGTAGGCCTTTACATACACAAGGGAAAAAGCAAGACCCTAAAATGCAACACGGAGAACACCAACGTGATTACACTTGATGAAAAACACTGGGAAAGTGGAAAGTTTCACATATCAGGGTAGCATCATCGATGAATGTGGAGGATCTGATGCAGACGTAAAGACGAGGATTGGCAAGCAAGTACCATTGATTAACATATGGGACTGAAAACAACTGTCAACCAATATCAAAGTCAGAATCATCAATACGAACAGTTAAACGGTTTTACTGTACGGAGCTAAAACGTGAAGAATTAAAACAACCATCATCAAAGCGTACAAGTATTGATAAACAGTTGTCCACGTAACATACTCAATGTCCATTGGCTCGATAACATCAGCAACAGCCTACTGTGGAAGAGAACAAACCAACTTCCAGCCGAGGAAGAAATTAAAAATGATGTTGGGAGTGTATAGGACACACATTGATGAAATCAGCATACTGCATCACGGAAGAAGCGCTAACTTGGAATCCTGAAAAGAAGCGGATGAGAAGGCCAAAGAACACACAACGTTGAGAATTGGGAGCAGATATGAAAAAGAGGAATAATATCTGGAAACAACTGGAAAGGAGTGCTCAAGACAGAGTCGGATGGAGAATGCTGGTGAGCGGCCTATGCTCCTGCATGAGGGATAACAGGCGTAACCATTATCTTTTGATCTGTTTTTCATTAGACTACAAAACTAAACTATTTTTCCGTTATTTCCAAAATCGTAATTTCACTTTTTAATCTGACTGAATTAGACTCTTATTTCAATCATTTAAGTTAAATAATTTATTTATGAATACAGTTATCATCAGCATAAGAATCTTGTGCGTGGATCCTAATTGATATTTCAGTACTACATTTGTACATAATGTTCATTTGCATCATGCTATTCTAGGGGAAGTTGTGTCTAAAGCAAATTATAACAAACTTCAATTCTAAAATCATGTTAAACCTTCATTGTATTTCGATTTAAAAACATTATTGGTTGTATGGAGTCAATGAGAAACAGGTATATATATATATATATATATATATATATATATATATATCTATATGGTTAATACTTCGCAACTAACAAGCATCTGTAATCATATTTCATTGAAGACTAACATAATCAAACAAAAAAATGTGCATCGCTGAGGAGTCCCATACTAGGACGAAAAGGCCGTCCAATACTTCCAGGTTTTCCATGGTGGTCTAGCTTCAATGGACTCATGATTTGAACTATTGAAACTTCTAAAATAACCACAAAGCCCTTCTGAAAAAATGTATATTTTGCTCAAAAGTAATAATCACAAGGTTTTAAAGAGGAAAACAATATATTGATTGTTGAGAATTATATAATAACAACAATTAAACACCTGTAATACTGTAGTAATCAAATGAATCTTTATTATGACAAGTATATAAACCTGCTCCATGTTCATCCTTGATGATTGTGAAGGAATCAATCACTTGACCTTCTCGTTCCTTTAAAAAAGTGTAAAATAAACACAATAAACGTTAATTATGAACTACAGTTAAGCTGAATCATTCATTATAAAAACTATAAAAGTTCTGATCAAAAGCAAACGATATTTAGTCTTAAGAATTAAATCCAACTGTTTTGTTTTATGAAGGTTATTGATCTATAGGTTTGGTGGTTACTGTTGAGTCGGCTTCCGAGAACTACAACGGAGCCTCCAGAGGCCCTAAATGAGCTGAAGATTTCCAGCCAATCAGAACATGATGGAGCTTTCTAAAATATCAACGTGGTATGCTACTATTGGTCAGTAGTACAAGATGTCTTTGCGCGAATCGGTCGAAATATAATGTTGATTTGACAAATGCTAATATCTATAAATACCCGTGACTTTTTGTACACTTTGATTCTTATCAAACAAACACTTCTCCAGCTTATCTTCTGTCTTTTGATTTGCGACTGTGAAGTTCAACATTCTAGTGTCGTAGTCATAACCCGTATCCTGCGTTAATCAAGTAGCGAACTTAACAGTTGCCCTACCAGTTATGAAGTTTACATATTATTTCGAGTTGATTATCATTTATATGAATGAATCGATAGATTACACCATCCTGACTAGAAAACTGAATATGATATATCTTACTTAAAGTACGAAACAGAATGTTGCTGTAAACAACTTTCAGAATAGTTTTCAATAGTAAAATTGTAGAACAGAAACCGTTCCTTCTATAAAGGTTTATATCGTTTGCATAGTTGAATAATCACAAGTTACCAGAATGTTAGAAAGCTCTTATATCAAAAAAATAATGACTAACTCAAGCATCTCGTTTGTCACATAAGATGATCATATAAACCGAGCTGATTTTGTTGAGACAGGTTTGCCTAGTTATGATCATGGTTTGATAGGAACGATTTTGAAACTTTCATTTCCACATAAGTAATTAACTAATTAATTGAAAGTTTATTCTAAGCTCAATCAGTTCTTGATAGAATTCTAACTGTTAATTATCAGTAATTGATTGATATTTAATTATAATAAATAAGAATTATTCATTCTACATAAATATGACTAAAATGATAACAATGATTTTTTAGATATCATTACCAACGTTTGACATGATAATTTCGAATATATTGAGCATTGGATAGATTTAAATAAAGCCAGAACAAATATAGATGTAGAATAATATGAATTCATTATATTTCGTGGTTTCTCATCAGCTAATTACAACCAAATATGCATTAGAATTTTAAATTGAGATAAGAAATAGTATGGAACAATTGACATAAGTGAATGTGAAGGATTGGAATGACAAGGGTTATCAATGATTTATATATATGACTCCAATAAATGATATCACTTTAACTGAGTATTTAACGATGGCTAAATCTCCTAGTAGAGTTATGAATTTATTCGAGATTATTCAGAAGCCTGAACACCAGTTGTAGAGATATTTGATTGTTAAAGATTAATAAAATCCGCAAGCGTACAGCAAGCAAGCACATAGTGAAATCAAAATTGTGTGTGTGTGTGAGTTAAAAGTCCATATATATATTTTGAGTGTTAATCAAGTATGGATAAATTATTGATTGTCTGTGTAATACAACCAATGGGAGAATAGATTAAAAATTGACATGTGCTCAATCAAACTCACACAGAAAATTACATTGTGGATCATGTGTCTAAATTACAATGAGCAGATAAACAATACAGTAGTGAAATGGGCTTACTACAGGTTTACATAAGATTCATGGAATTAAAAACTGATAAAATGGGTTACTTAATAATTGAATAGAATTTGAAAAGTTCACATAATTTAAGAGAATCAAGTGAGTGAAAATGTCTAAGTGAAGGGGTGACTTAAGAATTCAGTAATGAAAGAAGAATATAACACAAAGTAAACATTAACAAAACAAATGACCAAAATAAATATGGATTACCAGGGTAGTAATAAGTTTACTACTATCTCTTTTCGAATACATAGATCCATTTTGAGTTTTTTTTATCACGATCGCCCTAGCAAAACGGAGAGAAGCCGTATTTCTTTGTCTGCTAATAATTTTAAAAGCATGAGGAATGTCAAAGGTATGCCCGGTGTCAAGTAAATACCGAGCTATTGCACTGTTGAGAGCCCTAGTCCCTCACAGTCTCAATTTTTTTGGAATATGCTCAGAAATGCGAACATGTATTCTTCTCTCGGTTCTTCCAATGCATGTGCTCCATATATATATTTATCATTGATAACCCTTGTCATTCCAATCCTTCACATTCACTTATGTCAATTGTTCCATACTATTTCTTATCTCAATGTAAAATTCTAATGCATATTTGGTTGTAAGTAGCTGATGAGAAACCACGAAATATAATGAATTCATATTATTCTGCATAAATGTTTGCTATGGCTTTATTTAAATTCATAAAGGGAACTAACTGCATGTAATTGAATAGATTGTTATGAAGAAATCTAATGTACTTTTAATACCTCACTGAGTAGAAAACATACATTTTCTGTGGTTTCGTAACTCAACGTAAGCCACTTCGTTTCAATCTTGAATTGCTTAGATCTATTTTTTGATTGATCGCACATAAGATTTTTGCATTGTTTCCTTTGTGCTATTTAAACTTGGATAAATTTTGGTTTGCTTATTTGTTTTCTGAATAATTGGCTTACACCGAGTCACGAAACATCAGAAAACCTAATTTTTATACTCATTTTGTTATTACAAATATATTAATTTATTTATAAAATGATAACAAGTTATTATTCAAAGCGCTCTGCTGAAGAGTCCCATAATAGGTTGAAATGGCCGTCTAGTGATTCCAGATTTTCCATGGTTATCTAGCTTCAATTGACTTATGAGCTCAACCATTAATCTTATTCAAACTATTGGTTTTCCAAACTTCAATGATAAGATTACAACTGGAGTTCATAGTCATAGAAAGTAGGATTTCTGCTCTCATTAGATAAACTTTCCGCTACCTGAAATTCACAGGGAGTAAAACGTTTGTTGTGTGTTTTTAGAGATTCTCTGTATATCATCAAAGCATAGATTCGGCACATGTGTGAAATCAAATAGTGCAGGTAATATTTATAAAGATGCTCTTGAATATTTTTACACATAAATTTTCTTTAATAATACTTTCTATATTTGATTAGTTAACAAAAGATCATTTTTATGATAGGGAATAAGCAACACTTACTTTGCCCAGTGAACTCTTTACTGCGATCGAACATATCACTGGTAATTCAGTTAAAAAGAATTCTTTGTGGTGCATCATCCCTACATAAAATAAACATATTAATAAACTTCCTAGTATGTTATTCATTCGACTCAACGTTTGATACAGTCAGTTAATAGACTTTCAACATGATTTGTTCGAGAATTTAGCTACAGTTCATTTCATATTACCAGGGTTATTTCAAATTGATGACAAAATGATTGTTTCATAATTCCAACTTGATATATCAACCGGTAGGCATCCTATCTTGTTATTTACAAATAAACATAAGAAATACTAATAATTTCAGTATTTAAATAAATAAGAGAATAACATTTACATTTTCTACTGAAATTTGTTCAATTTCTAAGTGAGTAACGTTATGTATCGTCATTCTAGTAAATCCAAAGTCAGTTGTTCGAAATGCTGACCAAGGTTTTCCACCATATATAAATGTATCTTTACCTTCATTTGACCCAGCAGCTCCACTAACAATATGTACTGGAGCGTTTGGATTTTTGTATGGATTTTGACTTGTTGTAGAATTACAAACCTGAAATATGAACATTTGATTAGTGATAATACTGAAAAATTATTCAGTGTTATTGATTTAGTCAATTTTATTTATTTAAATAAATATTGATATAAAGGTGCATTGAATACATATGCGTCACACAAGTCACTTGATTTGTACATGGACTGTGATACTGACCGAGTACCCACACTGAAACAGGTGATTTTATTAGGAGACCACACCCGGAGCATTCAACCTAAGGGTCTGATGCATAAGGCAGTGTACTAACGTCAGTCCCATGATGGCTGGTGAACAACGATTGGCTCATATGCTATTTGTTCCCTCAGGATACTGGAGCCCATGTGCACTGTTGGGCTGGAATCAGTTTTCCAACACCCCCAGATAAACCCTTCATATCCACCGATCCGATTAAAATGCCGGACATTCGCTTTTTGTCCTCTCAATTTCGTAAACAACAGTAATGCCGCGAGAAGGCATTGAGTAGAACTTCCCTGGTAGTGACTGTTTATGCGTGGCCATGTGAGAGCAATTGGAGAGGGAGAGCTGACTCTCCCCACCCTCGGTCATATTGAGGGCATTTTGCGGCAATTTAATCATAACTTTGATTTAATTAAAGTTATGAGACAAGAGCCATATGGTAGGTTATCAGACAAACAAATGGAACAGTTTATCCTAGTTATACAAGAAATATAAAGTATGCAATATGTTAAAAACATTGTCATTGAATGTAATATGCTAAATATGTAACCATAGAAAATAATTACACGTAAATAAGATGTTTATTCAATAATAATGAGTTGATTATTGAATATAATAACTAGTTTATATACACTTACAAAGAGTTTAATGAAAATAAGTGAATATACTTGTAGATTACATCATGTTTATGATTAATCTTTGACTAGTGTTGAGGATGGTTGGAAGACGTTTATGGGCGGCTAAACCAAAACGTGGCATCAGTGTTTGAAGTCACTAACTTCTGGTCTGAGCCATGTTGGTAGATGCAGACTACTTGGTTGGGGTCCGCATGACTATCGTAACCAATGGTTGGAGACTCTTGGTGGCATGGCTCAGAATCGATCAGAATGGCGTAGGTGTACACAATCTTTGTCTTCCCTTAAACTATGAGACTAAAATTACTTCATATCTTTATTTCTACCAGTTAACTCTTTTTTCCTGTATTATATGCTTACATAAAATCTTTCCTTTATATATTACACCATTGAGTTAACTGCTTCTATGAATTCGGTGTTCGTCTTGCTGTGCTAATGAGGTGTGGTAACTTGGACCGATGCATGTATATGCCTGGTCCTACGTTGTATCTGACTGACTGATTGAATAATTTATAAACGAACTAAATTTATTGAACATAACTACTTGCACATTGAAGAAGACAGACGGTAGAAGTGTGATACAGCAAAATGAAATATTTAGTTTGTGAAGGTCGTTAACTTATTTGATCCAGAGTTAAATATGATAAACGAATAGTTGATAAAATTAGTGACATTAGAAATAAGATTGTCTGACTAAATAATATATTATATAATCATTGAACATAAGTTTGGTTCACCATACAGCAATAGGGTCATATACCATTTAACAGTAATGATTATTCATTTCTATAGTCACAAATGTTCATCTATTAATTCCAGTGGCTCAAAATTTGTTGGTGTAAAAAGATACAAGTCATTGTTCAATATGGTGTTAATTTTTATATTAATTAACTGAGGAGTAACAATACGCTTTATAACAAATATTTTCGAAGCAAAGAGGGATGGTGTCTAGCAATGGAATCCAGGACGCGCATCTCCTACTATTTGAGACTCGTCAGCTGGATGTACCTGCATCCCAGAGTTGACGATCACTCCAGGACTCGAAACCAGCATCGCTCGCTTCAAACGCCATTACGTTATCCACTTAGCTACTGAGTCCTGATAGCCACCTGCTTGTGCAATTGGGTGAAGTTTAATTCACTTCTTATTGTTAGCTTGTATCTTCCCATTATTGTTTAGGATTACAATTGGTCAGTCTCTTATTAGAATATGTGCAGCCTGTGCTGACGAGTCACAAATAAGACAAAACGCACATCCTGCGTCCCACTGCTAGCCATCATTCATCTTTGCTTATAAAGATTGAGACTTAAGGCAATATCGATACAGTTCGCACAGGATGCACATATGCCAATCAGAGACTGATCGATTGTAGTTTTAAATAACAATAGGAAGACGCATGCAAATAATACAAAGTGAATTTAAATGCTTCTGAAGTTTATTAATTTATTTTGAAGGACTTGAATTGGACCTTTTTTCAAATACTTTGTGAGTAATTTAAAGATTGTTATTGAATCCTGAAGACTTATGCACCAGAAAATATTAGTAATTAAATTTTATTGCTTAAACCTCAGAAAGTATCATATTGGGAGTATCAAACCTGCTGAACAGCGTACCCAACTTTCAATTTCATTTTTATACAACTGTTAAATATATAGCTATGAAAAACTCATAGATAACTGTATTCTTAAGAATAAAATATATTACACGAAATCGCGCCACCGTCTACCATTTTCTTCAGTGAGTTATTACCTCACAACCGACACGTTGAACTCCACTGGTCATGCCTTCTAATAAGATTATCTAGATTGATTCACCAGATATTAACACCATTGGATGCCGGCTCAGTGATGTAGAGGTCGTGGGTTCGAATCCTGGATCGTGGATGCGCACTTCTGAGGAGTCCCACAATAGAACGAAACGGCTGTTCAGTCCTCCCAGGTTTTCCATGGTGGTCTAGCTTTAGCTGACTCATGAATTCAATTATTAGTTTACTACAATCTCCACAAAACCCCTTTCTGATAGTAGTAAAACATTGTTAATGAATAGTTGGTTAGTTATAATTTATGCTGAAGAATGGTTACTAACACGAAACTTCGATCAAGTATCTCTTGACAATCAATTACAACCGCTTGACCTTATATATATATATATATATATATATATATATATATATATATATATATGTATAGACTTACGGTTCTGTTGTAAACTGGCCAAAATCTCTCATATGAGTGTTCATGGCCAGCAATGATCAAATCCACACCATACTGATAAAATAAGCTTTCCAATCCCATAAGATATACATTTTTATGATGTTTAGTTGATATGTCGAATCCGGTGCGTACAATATTGTTTTCAAAATCACAATGCATGGGATCAAAATTATTCGAACAATACATTGGTCTATGACCTATTACAATAATCCACGGATGATTTTTTCGATTTTCTGGTTTATTCGCTTCCTTGGAAGAAATAAGGGCGACAAAACTGACTGTCAAGTAAGTATGAAGAGTGAAATCATAAACTTATGAAAATCAAACATGTTTATGATAAACAAAACATTTCACCTCAAAACTCTTACAAATGGAACACAAAACATAAAATTAATGTTTAAATCAACATGTTAAAGGAATGGTAACTACGTCCTGTAAATCTAGCAATCTTACAATGAATCTAAGAGAATTGACATCTTATTTGTTTTGTTTTTTTAATTGGCTTTCAGGGTTCCGATGAAACTTAGCCCATGAATTTGAAATTTTCAAATTTTCGTAGTTTACATCAGACGCTGCTTTTATTTAGGCAAACTTTGAAGACTAGGAAGTGATAGACAGCTATGTCGTTCTAATAATAGACTAGTTAGAAATGTGTATATATGATCTACCGGAGATCAAATTCATCTAGCTCACCAAACTTGCATCTAACATTACACATAATCAATTCCAACCAATCCGCGGTGTTGTGCAATCGTCTTCTATTTATTGCAGTAGAAATCTAACTAATAGATAATGTGTCTAAATTGTAACAATCATAACTATGCATTACAACTTTTAGAATGAAGTCTCAAAATTAGTCACCGGTAAACACATAATTATTGTTAATGCAGAGGGATTATGAGAATTGTTCATATAAACAGTTCATATAAACGTATAAATTTACTAACTAACTTGAAGAGAATCAAGTCCTCTTGAAATATTTGAAATTGTAATAATTTGACATGAATCTTATAACGATTATATTGAAATATTGCTAACTTTAATGACCTACTGTAGTACAGATTTCTTTGTCTTTGTATAGATATCTAATTTACATATTACTATTAACCATCAATTGGGTTATTCATAAAAATAAATTAATTTCCTAAACCAAAAATCTATTTAATAGTTGAATTCATGAGTCAAGTAAAGCTAGACCATTGTGGAAAATCTGGAAACACTGAACGGTCATTTCTTCCTAGTATGTGACTCCTCAGCAATACGCATCCACGATCCCGCTTAGCGAGATTCGAACGCGAAAGTTTAACTTCTGGACCACTGAACCGGCATCCAACGGTGTCAATGTCCATGTTGACAACAGTGTGAGTAGTATAATTTATTCACTTCTCAAAATCCATATAAATAAAATATTCAGACACATTTGAAAGATTTTTTATTTAATTAACAAATTCAAGTTAAAATACTAGAGTTATATTTTAAAAGGTTAGATACTCCATTGTGAATTTCTTTCAACGACAAACTGTTTGATCATAATTTTAATATTCCTTTTACTTTTCTAATAGTATTATGAATTAAACGGATAAACTACCGATTGACAAACATGGTGGTACACCAAAATATTATGTCAGTTACAGACAGTGAATTTTTCAAGTGTTTAAAGTAGCATGGAATTTACTCATCTGTACAAAATAATTTTATCTCATTTATTGGTAAGGCAGATTTTTATCTTTTTAAACTTAATCTTCTTATGTTTTGTCATTAGTCAATACTATACAGCTATCAACGTATACATAAAAATTCTATTCAACTATGTTAAGTGGGTTTTTTTTTTTATTTACGTAGTTCTATCACCTTATTGCGAATTCGATGGAAAGAATCAAATTAAAACCTAAACATAAACGCGATCACAAATCAGGTTATTTATTAGCGTGCATAACTTAAGTTGTGTAATTAACTATCTTAGTAACTAATACCCTCAGTATTCAGTGACATATATATACATGTTCAAGCAAAATTCCATAAACTGACCATTAACTTACTAAGCATAGAATTCAGAATATGTTGTTTGGTGTAAAATTAATACCTATTCAAATAATCATAATCCAATTTTAGGTGTTCCATTTCTCAAATGTTTGATATCCTAAAGTTTATTTTCTAAAGGCAATATTCAGCTTATTTAAAAGAACTGAAAATTATTAATAAGCCTTAAGTTCAACAGAATTAATTGGCGAGACTATAACTTAAGGATGAACTAATCAGATTTAGGATGAGAGTTTTTGGATTTTGGCTCGAAATTCACTCATCCATTTAATTCCTAATTATTGTGAATCATAATCTTTATTCTTCAACCTGCTTTATAAAACCTCATTTAAAGTTAGTAAGTAGGTAAACACTCTCAGAGTCACTTTAGCGTCACTTAAATGTCGTCCATATATTATAGTCTTACCAAATAATTTATTTCATAAATGCCGATCTTTTGGAGTACATTATTGTCAGTCTCAAAAAGTTAAACTTTTGATAAAATTAATATTTTCGTTCTAGTTATAGTTACTGGCTATTCTAGTTTAATGAGTTAAAGTGTTATAAATTTGTGTGACGAAACCTGTTTTAATTTATATTTCACTTCAACATTATTGCAATTAAGGATTCACATTATGCTTCTAAGTAGACTAGAATGGTTTAAATGATTTAGCCCAAACCCATTTTCTAAGTATTAGTCTATACATATTTTATAGACAAACTACAATTAAATTCATTTTTTATTGTTTGTTTGAATCTTTCCATTGATGTTTAGAACTACAATTGATCACTCTCTTATTGGCATCTATGCATCCTGAGAGGATCACCTCAATACTGCCTTAAGTCACAAGCATTATAAGCAAGGATGGATGGAAGCTAGCAGTGGAATCCTGGACGCGCATTTCGTCCTATTTGGGACTAGTCAATTGGATTATTTGTTCAATGAATTATCAATACTAAACTGGATTTCTTATGGATGATTAATTGTCTTGACTTTTTCAAATAAGTTTGCCGGTTGCATTTGTTGTAAGCTTTCTAAAAGCAAAACTGTAGACAAAATAAGACATACAGTAATCACATATTATAGGAGATTAATCTTACTTGTAAATCTTTAATCAACCAGTCATATTGCATCACTAATGTTTTCCATCCATAAAATAAAAAGTAATATAATTCACTGGAGAATGCCACAATATGCGCAGGTCCAACGTTAAAACTAAAAGCGTATAAAGTATGTCAATACGTTTCTCATAATAGTATCCATCATGAATGCAAATGAAATCAAATTAAAATGTGTTGTTAGTTTAGGAAGTTATTCAATCTCTTGAACTTATAAGAATTCAATTATCTTTATAAGTTTTTCTTGTAGTATAGAAACTAAATGAAAGCATCATAATTTAATCGACTTTTATGCATGTTTTTGTTTACTATATTGTCATTTACCTTTGTCATCTTATCGTTGCTGCAAAAAGTAGCTGATCTTCAAACATACGTTTTATCCGAAATGTAATGCTATGTATAGTAAAATCTGAAAAAAACTCTGTCAACAGCAAAATATCAAGATAATTTTATTGGATGCTTACATCTTGATATTTGGATCATAAGTTTGGTGTGTGCTGACAAATTGCTTAACCAATCACGCGTAAACAGCAACTAACAGGGAAGTTCTACTCAATGCCTTCCCGCATCATTACTGTTATTTACGAAATTGAGAGTACGAAAAGCCAATGTCGGGCAATTAATCGGGCTGATGGATATGAAGAATCCATCTAGCGGAGTTGGAAAACTCTGATTCCAAACCAACAGTGTATATGGGCTTCAAGATCCTGAGAGAACAAATGGCATATGAACCTATTGTTGTTCACCGGCTACCATGAGACTGACGTTGGTGCACTGCCTTATGCATCATACCCTTAGTTTGAAATTTCCGGGTGTGCTCCACTAATAAAATCACTTGATTCGGTGTGGGTACACGGTCAGTATCACAGTCCACACACAAATCGAGTGTCGTATGTGTCGCGTATATATTCGGTGCTCCTTTATATCAATATATTTGTGTTCAAATAATAATAATAATACAAAAGAGTACAATGCGAGACATTGTGGTGGCTGGCAACATACAGTCAAAAGAATGAACTTTATCTATTAGCCATTCATAATAATGTTAACAAGTGCTCTACTTTTGTAGCATCAACATATTTGTAACATCAAAACAAACGTATAACTAATCGGTTTCAAAGGTTTTAATTTCAATCTTAATCTGACATTAATGAAACATTGGCAAGTTGTCCATTTATAGTGATAAATTTTTTTTAGTATTATTCGATAGCAATATTGATTTACCTATAAAATTGTGATTCACCATCACCTCCAGGCATTGTAAATCTTGCTTTATAATTTGAGAAATTACTAAAAAAAGAGTTTAGAAAAAAATGTACTAATTACCTGTTAAATCAAGAAAATCTATTAATTGATTTTAAGGATTTATTGTCAATTGACTTCTACCAACTAGTTGTCGTGCTTACAGTACAAAATCATTCCTTTATTTACCTAGTTTTTGATTAACAGAAAACATTACCGTTGGTATTCAAATCGATAAGATTGTATAATGATGCATATGACTTGATGCACAACCCAGTTACAAAAATAAAATACTTTTGTTTATTTTTCAACCGCTAGACACTAACACCGTTGAATGTCGTCTCAGTGGTCTGGAGGTTAATCGATCGCGCTTGAGACCGATGGGTTCTGGGTTCGAATCTTTCGAGGCGGGGTCGTGGATACGCATTGCTGAGGATTCCTATATTAGGATGAAACGGCTGTCCAGTGCTTTCATGTTTTCCGCTGTAGTCTAGCTTCAAATGACTCATGAATTCAACTATAAAGTTAAAAGAGTCCAAAGTAAACTATGATCAAATATAAGTGACTTAGTTTAATCAGTTTTTTAGCAGTCCACAACAAAACAAAAATATGTACTTCGAATATGAGATGTAAAAATCGTACATATTTGTGCTTAATCCTACTTAATCAAGAATGTTTTTGAGATTGCATTGTGGGTTTTATTTTTACATCGGATTGAGAAATTGAGAAATGATCTTTCAGCCAGTTGAAAATCGTTTAACTCAACACTGTTTATTCACTTAATTCATTTTTTCATCAAGTTAATACATTAGTGTACCATCTAATGGATTTCAAAATGAATTACAATTATTGAGATCAAAGAATGTCATACTGTGGTGTGTGCTACATACGTCTACATAAATAGTATATAACGCTAGTCAGAAACAGGATATCTGGAAGTAGAAGGTTGAGAAATCCGAGGAGGTAAAAACGGGAAGAGAAAACAATTGGTATGGAAATACATGAACAATGAAATCTGAGACAATTAATGAAAATTTTGCAAATGAATTATTGGATTGTGGTTTTTCTATATTATCAAGTAACAAAGTTTAATCACTTACTAAGCAGCTTCATGATTACCAACACATGTCATATAAGGAACTTTTGATGCAATTGGTTGTATATTACGCATAAATTGATCACCAACTCTTGCATTATCCTGAAATTTTAGTTTCAACATTGAAATTATGTATCAAATTGTCGAAAGATTTTTCAACTTTATTTTTATGATAGTGAAAATATTCTGATCGATTGAAGGATTATAACTTATAAATATATTCAGCGGTCTAAGTAATGAAGTAGTAAGACAAATATTCAATTGTGACACACAAAGGTTACAATTACTAATAATGTAGTCCAGAGAATGATGTTAAGCATTTTTATCAATAATTTACTGTACTCACAAAGAATATCTTGTTTAGTAGAGTGTCATCGGCGGGTAAACGGTAAACAGTAAAGGACAGCTATTTGTACTATGGTTGATCATCTTGATTAGAGATGATTTTTAAGTCAAATTTAATAAGTTATTGTTAGATCCACTTAACCAACTGGCTAAAGAATAACATCTCTATAAAAAGTTTACTAATGGATAATATTATATTAACAAAGATTTCCAAATTAATCTGAAAGGTAGATATATGACACATCTCGATGTTTTTCATATCTATTAAATGACTTCTAATTTTGTTATCCCTATATCTGCATTTCAGACTCATGAATTAAAAAAATGAAGTACACATCTACCAGTCTGTCAAATTACTTTTATTTTCTCATATTGAAATACTGAAATTCAAAGAATGGATCTTAGAAATATGTTATCAGTATTTTCAATAGTTGAGATTATTAGTCAATTGAAGCTAGACCACCATGGAAAACCAGGAAGCACTGGACAACCGTTTCGACCTATAGATAATAGATTGAGTTCATTATTATTTACCAGAGGAAGTTGTAAGTTTAACCTACGATTAATTTCGTCAGAGAAGTGAAGCCCATTGTTCTAATCTCTTTCCCAGAATACAGAAGCTATTTGTGTAGTTGGTAGATGAACTAACATACAAAAGGTTTCTAATCAGCCATATTACTTCTAGTCATGTTTTTACTTAATAAGGATCATTACTAAAGTTATTTTTCAAGGTTTATACGCATTTTAAGTAATTTAGCCTAGAAAATATCATTAAAATGTACTTAACAGTGTATGAAAACTATATAACAAGCATTATTCATGTACATAAACATTTTCTTGGCAATAATTTCGAGCACTTAATGGACATTTACTAACAAATATAGAAGTGATCATTGGTTATGCCCTTGGATAGTTCTAAAGGCTGTATCAAACTGGAAGACAACATTTCTCTGAAATTTCATGAACACCATTGGCATATGATTTTAAAAATCCTCAAATAGTGCTATATGTGTTATACTCTGTCCAGAGATATTTGTTTACCAGTTTTACTCCTCTAAAATACGAGGTCAGTTTTTCGACAATATGTATGTTATTAATAGGTTGAATGTTAGTTACTTACTGAATCCATATTATAGGCGAAATCACCAACATGTAATACCAGATCATAACTATTTAAATCTGTGACTTGATGAATTAATTCGGGTAGTGAAAGTGCATCAGTTGCTCCCATATCTCCATAGACTGCTAGTTTAGGTGACCAATAAGGATGAGATGGGAGGGCACGAAATTTTAAAACATCAGACCAACCATCTAAACTACCACATTTATAATCTGCAAAGCGAAAAAATATGATAATCCCAACTACCATCTGAGTTTCACATCTGACACTGACACTGAAAGGTCATTTTAGACCTCAATTGATTACTAAATCATTTCCAATAAAATAATATCTATCACTTCATTGTTTATGCTTTTGTGCTAGTAAAGTGGTAGCTTATCCGAAAGCTATACTAATTATGATAAAATTCACTTATACTAATAATCTCCTCTCTTCTGAGAGGATATTTTAGACTCATAATGGCATCGAAACTTTCAGTGATGTTACTAATTTGTTGTCTATCAGCAAATGAATTCTCATAGATTCGGGATATTAACTAGCGAACGGCAGCCATTCTTTAATGTGTCTAGCCTAGTGTTCGTGTACTGTCGGTCAAAATACAGAGTAATCTTGACTCTAGTTTTAAGTGTTTCACGGCGATAAGCATTATACTCTAAACTAAAGTTTCATGCTAGCTATTATCTGAGACCTCTAACTCACAATCTTGCCAAATAAAAAGTGGCATCCAGTTTGAAATTTCATTGGTTTCATACTGGCAAACGTTTATTTAGAAAGCTTTTTATTAATGTTTCGGGTTGCTTACTCCAAGCCCAACCTTCTTCCCTTACCCAGGATTGAGATCGCAATAATCCTACTAGGGCTTCGCACAGAATTACTTATTTTAGGATATTAAATCCTAATAGTTTATGATTTGTCTAAACTCAGTGTTGTAGCCATGAGAAATCGACGACTTAGCATTTTTCAGGAGAGCTATGAATAAATGCTGTTAGATATGATTCATTCATAACAAAGAGATATATATTCGGGAAGGTTATCATATTTACGAACTGTGGATGTCAGTAAAGAAAAAAGTCCTTTTCATATATAGAAGGATTTTTAAACTTACAATAAGTTGTATTAGCAATTAAATCGGATAAAATCACTCGATGTATATACATTTTGCGTTGTTCACGTCCTCCATCAATAAACTCTTTAACGTGGCCAGTACTTTTCATATTTAACAGCGTAGTACCGTAGAGTACAGTTGAACTCTCTGTATTTTCTTGTGTAACCCATGTAATACTTATGGTGGATGGTTGCTCTATGATACAAAAATACTGTTATTTATATGGTGTTAAACATGACCACAAAAATGATTGATCAAAATGAAGAGTTGAATCATGTTCATAGAGACAGTTAACACTGTTTCAGTGCCTAGCTATACAGAGGTGTTATACAACATTTCCGAATGATTTTTATTACGAATAAACTGGTTTATTATTAAAAGATTTCCGTTTGTATGTACTATAATTCCAATTTAGATGCACATTTGTATTGGAACAAAAGTAATCTAAACGACAACTATCAATGTCAAGGATTGACAATAACTTTAAATGAGTTGATTGTTTAGTATAATATTGATAAAAATGGGAGATGGTCACGCAATTCCGTGGATTAGTCGAGGTTCGACATTAACACCATCGGGTGCCGGCTCAGTTATCTAGAGGTTAAGCGCTCACACGCGCGAGACCAAAGTTGCTGGGTTCGAATCCCGCGAGCAGGATTGTGGATGCGCATTGCTGAGAAGTCTCACAATAGGACGAAACGGCCGTCTAGTGCTTCCAGGTTTTCAATAGTGGTCTAACATACCATACTGTTAATAATAATAAAATATATCACTATTTTGCCACCATACAAAATGTATTCATCATTTACTAAAAATAATATGTGTGTAGTATACACACTCTGAACACATTCTTTAATCTATATACTGTGGTGTGCGCTACTTATGCACATAAGTAGCACATGACGATAGTCAGGATTGGAATGTATTTCAGTAGAAGATCGAGAAGGAAAGAACGGAAACAGAAAGCAATTGGTATGAAAATGCAGGAACAACGAAATCTGAGACGATAGACTGATATTTGCAAAAGAAAGTCAAGATTGAGACAATTGATTGATATTTTGCAAATTAAGCATTCACTGTATGGTTGTTAGATCTCAGTGAGATATTCTGTAATTTTGTGTTAAAGTGCATTCGTTCGCCTGTACTTCTTTTCTTGATCACTATAATAAAAAACTCCATTTATATTTTTACAAAAATATTGGTTAAATCTAAATGTCTAATTGCAAATGAACGTTCGGGAATCAATATAACTGTAACATACTAGAATGTGAACCCTTTATTAATTTACTGAAACTATATCTTCAATGGAGCAAGAACAAAGATTGGTGCAGATTAATATGAATTCATTTTATTTCATTAGCTGCTTACAACCTAAAATATTTGAAAATCGACGCTATTACAGATATTGACATAGTTAGACATAGGAGGGTTATTAAAGATGGATCAGTGTATCATGATGTAGCGAAGATTCAGATAGAGTTAATGAGGTCATAACATTTTTGTTTCGAATTAGTAAAGTTTGGGAGGGAACGTTCCAGAACATCGAAACAGTGATTCGAACTGATGGAGTTAACTAACTTTAGATGATTGTGTAATTATTCAACTGAAAATAGATTAATGATAATAAAGAAAGATATGAATTGGAATCAGTCAGTTATGAATGATATAATTTTAAACTTTGGAAAGAGTTGGAATAATGAATGACATAGTAAAGAAAAAAGAAAAAAGTGACAAAAAATGGGGTTTAATGTTACCAGGACAAAGAAAGATATATTACTGTCTCGTTTTGTACACATAGATCTGATTTTAGACATTTGATTGCTATCGCTTCGGCCAATTTAAAATGGTTTGCGTTTGATTGTTTGTTAATCACCTTGAAGGACTTCATATTATCGACTTGGTGTCCTGTGTTAAGATGTTTTGCGATGGCACTGGTGAATACTTTTAATCCGCTCTTCAGAATATGTTCTTTGAACCGGACGTAGACTCTTCTTTCTGTTCGACCAATGTAACTGTTTTGGCAGACATATGTAAATTTATACCATATCTTTACATTTTTAAAAGTCAAGGTGACCACTTTGAACAATTTTCGATTCTTATCAGTTGAAAATATCACTGCAGAACTTTGTCTTAATCAAAATTGTCACAATTATTTAAACAGCTTTTTGTTATTGTTGTTGAGAGTATCGCTGTTAATAGTCGATGTCATGATAGTGTTCTACTATACTTTCCAAAATATAAATTTTTATTGCTGTACAATGAATAAGCTGGTATAAGTCATTAGTCGTACCACTTTCTGCAAAATATTTGTTAGGACATTTTAGCGAGGCTAATGTATTTGATGAAAGGTTTTAATAACCGGGTAGAAAATTACTATTCAGTTGCATTTGTTTGTTTAACGTATGGTTAATATTTTGATGAAGGTGTGTAACAACCCTGACGATAGATGTAACCAATTATAATAAGATAACGGACTACACTGCAAAGTCGTGAATGTAGGATATCCCACAGATGTATTTCAAGTGAAGACCAGTGTCAGACAAGGTTATTTACCTTCACCCTTTCTCTTTCTTCTCATGGTCGAATGGATTGTTAAGAGCTTCACGTCTCGAAGAAAGCATGGAGTAAAATGGACAAACTGCCTGTAAATAGACAGTTTGGGCTTCGCAGATGACCCAGCTTTTCTATCTGTTATATCCCGATAAGAATAATGAATGGTAATATTTTGGGATCCATTTATGGACCTATACTATGAGTATATTTTTATCTTATAATTGCTGTGTAACTAAACTATTCATATTCATGTCCCTTTTATTATGAGCTTTATTTTGACCTATGAACTATTATTATTCGATTTATCATTCTTGAGTTATGGCCTGTCCATTAATTACTATCTCCCTCGTTCACAGCCACATTTGACTAGTTGTTGTACAAATGTTGTTTCCTATTTCATGGTACGATGTGGTCTGTCCGGTTGATATATAAACCCAGTATGCTTGAAATAAATGATACGTATTGCAGAGGCTGAGATTGGTGTTATTGACCTAACAGACTGGTCTAGGCAGAAGCAGGACTATTAAGAACTATATACTGCTCGCACGTGTTTCATGTGTCACTGGTTCGATCGATAATTCGCTGCTCTCTGATTGGTAGTATCGTTGCGTTATACAATAAACAGGGCACACAGGTTCACAAGTTATGACACTATCCCACGCACATCAACAAACGCAGGTCAAGACAGCCAATGTATAAGCAGCCACTTCATCAGGAGGTCTGAACATACACAAGGGAAAAAGCAAGATCGTCAAACACAACATGAAGAACAGTAACCTAATATTACTTAGTAGAGAAGCTCTGAAAGACTTGAAGAGTTTCACATATCTGTGTAGCATCCACAATGAACGTGGAGCCTATGATATAGATGTGAAAGCAATGATTGACAAAGTAAGGGAGGAATTCTTACTGTTGAAAAACATATGAAACTCAAAACAACTATCTGTCAACCATAATTGAAGTCAGAATTTTCAGCACGAGCGTCAAGACAGTTCTACTGTACTGAACCGAAATCTTGGAGAATTCCTCTAACCAACACCAAAGAAGTACAAGTATTTATAAATAATTACTTAAGCAAGATAATCAATTTCCGCTGCTCGGATACCATCAGGAACAGCCTACTGTGGGACGGCAAAAACGACCTTTCATTTGAAGAGGAAGTTAAGAAAAGAGGATGAAGGTAGGTAGGACATACATTGTGGAAACTAACAAGCTGCATCACAATATATGCACAAAGTTGCAATCCTGAAGGGAAAGAGAGTGACCGAGGAATACACTGGGTCGGGAATCAAAAACACGCAAGGAAAGGATTGTCCAGGACAGAGTTGAATGGAGAATGCTGGTAGGTGGTCAATGCTCCTTCTCGAGGGGCAACAGGCGTAAGTAAGTAAGTAAATATAATCACATAGATATATACCCATTCTTTGCGTATTTGTGTTTGAATTGACCCTCAAATATGTCTCATCTCAAAAGATGAATTGATTTTATCTTGTTTTATTACATATTCCTTTAGAATGTTTAGTGCTGGTGTTATGAGGTTCTAGAATTATCTAACTCACTATCGTCTTTTGTTGAATTCTTACCTTAATATAGTATTGAAATTTAATTCTATCGAGTTGTTAAGCTATCTCTTCATAGAGACTTTGAATTTAGGCTTAGACTACTATTAATAAGAAGCTGATTGATAGATAGGTTACCATAAAAAAAAAGAAATGATGTACTTACCTCCCAAAGCAATATGTATTTGCTCTGGTATCTGTGATTCTATATATCCGTATACATTCCAAGTTGTAACATGATTCAAATTAAGAAACAATTGTATAACAATCAGAATATACATTTTCTAACAACACTTATTAAGTTTCTATCTTATTATATGTACGTGATATTTATATATAAATGGATAAATAAGATAACGAAATGAATGTGTAACAGTATATTCATATTCCAAGGTCATATTTTTTTATATATCTATTATTACTTACAAATCTAATTAATAATGTTTAGATCCGATCATATATATAGACTTTGAACACTTCCTGTTTATCATATATATTCTATTGAAAAATAAACAGAGAACATTAGTTATATTGAGATAGAAACACAGATTTCATTATTTGTTTAATTATGTTTGACTTCATATGACATACGATTAAAGATAAATAGATTATACGAAACTCAGTCAGTTAGTCAGTCAGTAACAACGTAGCACTTCGAACGTATGTACGTACATCATTTCAAGTTGTCATACCATATCAGCACAGAGATGCAGTTGTAGATTCAAATCCCATTGTGGTAGAGGTAGTAAAAGTATAAGCAGTAATTGGAAAAATTAGGGCTTGAAGATGTTATTCAAGTAGTATAATCCAGTTATCATTCGTCTTTATCTCTAAAACACATGTCATCTGACCAGTATCTTATATCTTATACCACTAGTTATCTTCATAGCAGTTTGATATAACAAATGGATTTTAACGAACAATACAAAGGTTTAGTTATCTGATTTCATTGTAACACGGAACCAGTAGCGACAATGTGAGACATAGAGCTTAGATGAAAATAGTATGTAAAATCCATTTTGAATGTTTTGTATGTGAAAAAACCTCCATGTATATACTTGCAGTTTGTTCTTACTGATTCCTTTAGTTGTACATTTTTTTAGTCTTTTTGATTCCATTTGAGTGGGTAATACTTGTGTTTTCTTATAGTTTTTATTTTTCTTGCGCTTTCACTAAGTCTCCATGTTTCGTCATGGTCTGCATTTCTGTTGTTGTACTTGATACTTATTCTTGGCGGCAACCGTATATTTATATAGACTTTGAACACTTCCTGTTTATCATATATATTCTGTTGAAAAATAAACAGAGAATATTAGATATATTTGGATAGAAACACATATTTCATTATTTGTTTAATTATGTTTGACTTCATATGACACGTGATTAAATGACAAAAAAGATTATACGAAACAAAACATATTGTTTTGCGAGTCAAATATTAGGGAGACTGTAGTGATTTTTAATAGTTGAAGCAAGATCACCTGAAAGCACTGAACGGTCCTTTTGTCCTAGTATGGTACTCCTCAGCAGTGCGCACTAAAATATCGCTAAAGATTCACTGATAGATTTATCTATTTATTTATTTATCAGAATGAAATGAAATGTGTAATTTTATTGTCTCATGTTGTTCTTTTAATTTACTGTTGCGTTTTGAACTATCATCCAAAATCCATTATTGAATGTTCTAAATTTCTGTTTAAACTCCTGTTAATTGCAAAGAATTAATCTACATGTTATTGTGAAGTCTTGGAAATATGAACAATTCGAATTAATCCTTGAATAAGTTCATTTGGTATTGTTTACTTGAATCTCCTGATTGATGTTTAGGACTGCAACTGGTCAGTTTCATATCGAAATATCTGCATACTGTGCGTATTGTCTTGATATTGCCTTATTTCACTAGTATTATAAGCGAAAATGGCACGAACAAGTGGCTATCAAAACTTAGTAGCCAAGTGGATAACGTGATGGTGTTTTAGGCGAACGATACTGGTTTCCAGTCCCGAAATAAACATCAACATTGCGATGCAAGTACATTCAGCCGACAAGTCCCAATTAGGACGGAACGCGTGTCACGGATTCCACAATTAACATTTTTCCATCTTTATTAACTGGACAATTTGCCAAATATTTGTGATACTTGCAGACATGCTAAAGAGTGAACAAATTGCTGACGATAAAAATAAAATTTGTCTTTAGCTTCAGCTGAAGAAGCAGTTTTAGTTTTATAAGACTACAGTCGTTGTAGAAGTTCACAAACTTGTGAATCACGTTACAAGCAAACATACTCAAACAGATAATGCTTCTGATTTTCTAATATCAGCGGAGTCTTGACGTTATAGTGAATGATCGGTCAGTTTACAAACAACAGCAAGTTAGTGTAGTAATTAGCATGGTTTAACATTGATGATGCAATAACGAAGAGTCAACATGATGTGACACAGGGTACAAATTATGCACTCAAACACATACAAAATCTCAGAAATTCCAGCATAGCTGGAACAATTACAACAATCACCGTGACTTTAGCTGTTACTTTTATGATAAATTTACAACGGTTCATGTGTCAGCGCTATCAATAGCGTTTCGAAAGCATCGATTGGCATGGACTCATTTGTCAAAAATGTGTGTGTTTGGACTTCCGATTTCATAAATATTGTTGCTTTGTTAATGCTCCAGATATTCTTTGCCTCTCATGAATTCGCGTTCAAACCACACAAGAACTTGTCAAAGTCAGTTACTTTACCTAATCTCACATATTGTGTATCTGCGTTCTGTCGTTTATTCCATGAAGCCGTTGAATCGAGCTCATCATCTAGGAACTACTCATATATGAATGCTAGTTCTAAGTAGGTAGTGTCAGTGTCAATCGGTGTTGATCTGTCACCCTACAACGAAATGCCGATATTAAGATTGCTGGTTTACGTGGACGCACAAAATTAACCAACGAAACAACAAGTCGTGTTTGAGAATACAGCTAGTGTCAACAAACGTAACTTTCGAGTGAAGTAAATTAGAACACGACTCTAACACTCTTTATCATCTTTCATCTACGTCAGTCGTTCTAGGCTTTGGACAGATCATTCATTATTCAATCACTACCCACAAGTGTATTTTAACTTGCCAGTTATTCGTATGCATCCTAGATCGTATTTTCGGAGCGTGTGTGTGCGCTTGTTGACCACGTACTCTCTTCGTCAGATGTCTGTAGTCTACCTTCCTGTTCAATTGAAATGCATTAGAACAAGATAACAAGAGATTTGGAAACGTATGTTTATTTGTCTGTGGATTGGATCATGTGGTTCAAATGTCTATATTCCTTTATCGGTGTGCGTCATACCTTGTGATGATGGTGTATGTGGTTTGCGTTTTGGCCTTTCTTCTTCTCTCCTCTTCACACATTTCTCTTCACATTCTTCCACTGTCGGAAACCTGTTTCTGTTGCCTCCTTCACCTTTGTAGGTAAATGGCAGACATTTTCCTTCTTCTTTATCGTAGTAGAAGACGTGTTCTTCCATGTCTCCTTCTCCAACATCGAGTGGCCTCATACATTCTCCTGTTTGAAAATGGCAAAACACAAATCAATCAATGGGCAATATAAACACAGAATCAAGTCTCTGACTAAACGAACTAGATGTCACAGGCACGTGCATCGAGCAACGAGAGAAGTCACTAGTGAGTGATGCTCTCACAAATCATAGCTTCTCTCCTGCTTTCAGACATGCGTTCCGAAAACTTTGTAAGCAAATCACAACTTCCAGTGATGGAAGGACAAACGTTCCTTCACGGATCGAACATATGCTTCGACATATGGAATGACGTTCTGTTTGTCCTGACCAGAGCTCGTTGAGAACTTCCATTAATATCGGTTGACAGACTCTTGGAAGAATGCACATCATGTCTTTCGAATTTTGATGGACATACCAACAGTTCAACAACAATCCCAACACAATTACGGTGATGAAAACATTTACATTAGGAGCAAACAAATACACTTACGACCGGGTCTATGGGCGAACACAATCTCACACGAGATGACTAATGCAAGTAGAAGTGAAACCTTGATGTTCATTTTTCAGTGACTATTTTGTGTTTGTGTCGCTTGTTTTCGGACCTCACTTTGAGCTACTTATACTCACAAACCTGTGAGTTAGCCAGTTGTTTTTGATTGACACATAGTTGCAACTTCTTAAAAAAACGGGTTGGTGAATGTCATGCAATCGATTCGTAGGATTATTAATTCTGTTTGAGTGATTCACATGAATCAGGTCAACACACTTTACAAATTTACATTCAAGTCAATCGAGATTACGGTTTTTGTGTGTTACGAACTCGTTCTGCTGTGTCCACATTAAAAGAGTTCTTCTGATATGTGGATCGCAGCCTGATGTGGCAATATGAAACTAGTTCACAGTGAGAATTATTCAAGAATCGATAGGCTTTACCGTCAGTTGAACAGGTCACATATGAGAAAACACCGACTGCGAGCGGTCTTGCTGAACAGCGAAACATGTGATGTTGTTATGTAGGTGACAATGAATGTGTATTTCGAATCACTTGTTTGAGTAATGTAAAGCATAAGTCGAAGTGTTCAGAGTCTGATTCACATCTAAAAATGAATGCTTGAACTCGTGTGCAGTAAATTTCGACCGGATTTCCGGCTCTCGTAAATATGTGTGATCAATTATCGGCATAGTCTATGATGGACTGCAAACAAGTTGGTTCAGCTCAACGAAATTCATGATAGGTTCCACCAATCACTTGTACTATTATCTGACCGATAAATGTAAATACTTGTGAGAGTTTGACTGTGATTAGTAGGTAGAGTGACTAGTGCTCATGTTGGGTGCTGAATGTTACTTTCAAGTCTGCACAGCCAAACTCATCAACCGAATAGCTACACGATTTCACAAGATACCGAAATAATCATCGAATATGATCAGATAAATTTATTGAAGATCACATGGAGTAAAATTCACTTGAACGTCAGCCATTTCACAATCCAACAATCGGTAGATTTCAAAAGTGGGTGATACGAAGTAGTTGTGAAAACGCTTGGATATTTAAGAAAGACTAGTTGGGGAACACAGTTGACTGGAGTGGTACTGTGATACTGTCAAGAAAAATACGCTCAGTTCATATTATAAACGAGAAGGAAAGCTGCAAATGTATTTCAGTCGTAAGAGTATACCTCAACGCGACAGCTTTAGAACAACTCTCACCGGTTGAATATAATTGCAGTGCTATGATGGAAATTATTATTATTTTGTTCAACATGTTGATAAAAGACCACGCACTTTGGTTACAAGAGTGCATAGTTTATTCATGAAACAGAATGCTAGCCTGGATTTGTCAAACATTTTAAACAGACTTGGAAATACAATCTCAACGATGGGGTCCACGCGACGGAACAAATGGTTTTGCAGCATTGTAGTTGAAGAGTGATGAAACTAAACACATGGAGCAGAAACAAAGAGGCTCAAGGTCAAGACTGTTTACCTACTTCAGCTAACACCACATAAATGCTACGGAACATAATTTGAAAGTTGATGTATTCACTTATATCAGGTTGATAAGTGTCGAATTTGTGATTGGTTCATTTGATTTAAACATTCTGATTTCCATGTCAAAGCTCTGTATTCAAGCAACATTTGTTTGTATGGTCTTTTGCATGGAGATTATCAGCATAATCGATGATGGGCTGAAAACGAGCTGGTTTGTTTCAAGGATTCAAACATACAATAGCAAAATCTTCACATCATTGCACACAGGAACTGTTTAGCATCAGGTCGATCTTAGTCGGGTTCTACTCTGAAGTTTCGTCACTCAAGGAATTGTGAATCGAATAATGGTCATTCGTTGAAGCCTGATTGATATACTTCAGGAAGACAAATTTTAGTTTCCTCGACTCAACTGATAAAAGTTTGATCGAGTTTGAAGTGCATATGCACACAAAATCAGTTCACAACTTTTTTTTCAGAGGTGCCGTTTGTAAGACAATGCACCCACATCAAGCCACAACGGTCATCACCGATCACAACCCTCCCTACTCGCCACAAACGACAGCGATCTTTATTGACTGAGTTTTCTTGTCCCCCAATTGATGTTGAACATGCTATTCGTGTTGTTTTTTCCCGTTCAATAAACTGCATTCTCATCCGCCTTTCGCAAACCGTCGTTGTTCTATTATGTATTGAAATCAGACAGAGCCTCG